TGCATGATGAACTCGCTCACTTCGGAATTCTGGGAGAATCATCTGTCTCTCAAAGCTTCCTTGAAAGAATTAAACAGGTGATTAAAGCAAGCTGACAGATCCGGACAGTAGGCCGGATAATGTAGAATTTTTTAACTATATTGGTTGATCTGATCCCCTCCATCGTGCGGAGGACCGTGATCGACTCCATTATTTTAATTGAAAAAAATTAGACCTGTAAATTTCCATTGTCGTCCGTTTTTTGTCCGTCCGTCTGTCCGTCCGTCTGTCCGTCTGTCCTTTCGTTATCTTGAGAACATAGTTAGTTATATGACAGTTAAGATCAGATGTAAAAAGATTAGAGGTAAGAGTTCCCAATTTCCGATGCAAACCGAAATACAAGAATTTCCGATGCAAACCGAAAATCATGTTATTTAAATTCAAACTTTTCCCCTGAAAGGAGTTAAATAGATGATCGGCACGATTCTGTTGTTAAAGGAAAAGTATGATATACAGGGGCAAGCCACTACTAATTTGAGATGGAGAGCATGTATTTTAAATTAAATTAATTAAAAATACGATTAAAAATTGCAGCTCGGCATTTTGAGGATGTCACAATAAATAATTTCTCGTTTCAGTATTATATTTTTTAATTGTGATATTATTTTATACTAACAAAGAAGTTTTAATAAACATGTCAGTATCTGTAACATTAATGTAAGTTTTCATGGCTTTAATTAAAAAAGAAAAACATAATTTCATAACGATTATTACGATGTTTTTAAAAACAATACAGTTATAAAATATTGAAAGTTAATTGCAATATATTGAAATATGCCAACAATAAATCCACCAGCTAAAACACTATGAACAAGTACTTAATAAAATAAAATGGTTCTTCTTGCTGCCAAAGCAGCCTGCACCTAGCAAGACATGAATTCTTCGAGATTTTAGTAGGTGTCTAGTGAGAACTGAAATCATTATACCATCAGAAAGCTTTCAGTTCCTATAAATTGTAATTTACATCTTTTGTAATGAATCCATTTTTCTAACTCAAATCCAAGTATTCAATTGGATTTACGTCAAGGGATTTATGAATCGTGATTTGTCGGACGAGGCAACCTTCCATTCATTAACGATCTAATTTTAAGGATAACGTGCACGCTGCAAACATTGTCAGTGATGAACATTGTTAACAGAGGCCAAGACTAGGTCTGATGTCTATACACTTATTATTCGATGAACAGTGTGTTTTGAAAAACTCTAGCTACACCGACCTTTTTTATCTCTTTGATCAATGAAATGGCAAGCCACGAATCATTGGCAAGGCACATGTTTAGACTATCATCTTTTATGGACAATTCCTACCGATGAGCTACGCCGTTTCGGAAATGTGACTCCAAGGCGTCTAATTACCACAATTTGGTCTTTGCTGCTTTACCATTAGCATACGATAACTACTGATTGTGCAACCTTCTGTCAGCTGTTAAATGTTAATCTGATGACCTATACACGTGTCGCTGTGTGTCTATAGAGACGGTTCTTGCATTAACAAGATATGATTATAATGTTTTGACTGATCAATGTAGGTTATAAACGGACTGATTGATTTTGATAGGGTAAGGCAACACAATACAAGTGCGATCTGTCAAGAGAAAACTTTCTATGTAAAGCTGGTCTCTATTTACTGTTAGACACGTAAACAAAACCCAGAAAACTTCACTCTGCCACTGGTGGACAGATCTTGAACGATTATTTCCTATTCCCTTAGTTTATTGATTCACTTTTAATATTTCTAGCTGCAAATACGACCTTGAACGCTTTTATTAATTTAAAAGTTAGACGAGCTTCAGTTCTATTTTAATCAAATAAATAAACGTAAAATTTTCCTTCTACGCCAAGAAACATTTAAGAATTGCCAGAAAGCCATTTGCTTCCATATTTAGAAGGTAATGTATTTGAAAGATTCCCAAAATATTTTCATACGTTTATTTATTATTTTTAATTAAAATCAAAATTATTTACAACGAAATAATTCCAGTTCGGTAGGCCTATCTAACTTCCTCAATAACATCTCTAGATTTGGCAATAAACTGTAAGAGGCATTCGATAAGCAGGATCGTCATTCATTTATATGAGTTTTCCCTTTCTTTTGTCTGTAGTAGGAAAAGCAAGTACTAATGAAAAAACATTGGACTACAATCTATTGTCTTTTATTAGTACTTATCCATTACACAAATACTAAGAAAATGTTATTGATCAATTCCTTAACTCATTTCCAGAAAGTCTTAATTATTTATTATAAATGAATACAAAAATAAATTTAATATAACTTCATTTTATAGTTTGATATTATTTTAGTTGTGTTATGTATAAAATTAAACTTCAAATTGTTGTGACCAAAAGAAAACCCTCAAATTGTTGTGACCAAAAGAAAACCCTCAAATTGTTGTGACCAAAAGAAAACCTTCAAAATTTCTGTTTGAATTGAATTATATTTAAATCAATTCATAAAAGAGAATTCAAACTGAAAATTGATCAAGTCATATATATTATTTGGATGATGATACGTAATTTAATCAATTTTTAAAATAGAAGTTGTTAATAAAGGTTTCATCTTCTTTGATCATTCAACAATTAAATGATTTTATCTTCTTCTTCTCCTACTTCTAAGATCATTCCACCTCTTCCCAGTTTCTTCCCACGCTCCTTTATTTTTGTTTATAATTTGAGCATTACTTTTAACAGGAATCGTAAGTAATTTGCATATATAAAATCCAGATGGTTGTTCAAAGAGAATCCTTCATTCCTTCACGTAAAAAAACATTTAACTGAAACACTTTAGAAGAATAATATGCCGGATAATCAATCAGGAAAACAAAGATTTATTCGAACTAAAATTACTAATGTTATAAACACTCTACTTATTCTAAAATATGTAATAAATTATATCATAAATATAAGCGTAACATTCGCTAATATGTACATTTATACAACCTTTCTGATAAGTGTACATTATTTACTAGGAATAACTTGTTCAAGAGTATAATAAGTACTTCTGAGAATGTATAATATTCTTGTAACCATCATTCCCAGTAAAGAAAACTGATGTAATCTAAATTGTTTTAGAAAAAAAATAATGTGTTTTATAATTAGTTAAAATAATTATTTTATTCCCAGATGACGTTAAGTAATTTAAAAACAGTTATAACTTTTTTAAAGTTTAAAAGAAGAAAAAAAAATTATCAGAAATAACATAGAAAATGACTAATAAAGTTAATCTCTTCCTCTTGCTTTATATTAAGTTTCCTTTTTTATTTTGATTTATTTGGAGTGGGTTTAAATAATATTTTAATCATTATTCAATATATCAACCGCCAGATATGATAAAGAAAACGAAATTAAATAAGGAAAAAAGGTATTTAAATTTTTACACAAAATTTTAAAACGTTTCTAATAAAATGAATTCCTTTTCTACATTAAAAATTATTAATTTAAAGTATATTTAATAAGGATAATTTAATACTTTTTATATTAATTCGAACATTCAAAAAAACTCCAATAATTTATTAATGAATCTAGCAGAAAAACTTCTCAAACTAAATAAGAATAAATGAGAATTGGCGATAAAATTTAGAAAAAACAAAAGTAATTGTATTTAAAGTTCACGTATAATAAAAGATAATTAATTCAAATAAAAGAAAAATGAATGATACAATATGAAAGAAAAAAAAACTATAATTATTAATTTAGTGATCCAAATTAATATTAACTTATTATCAGTATTATTCATTTATCCAAAAGGAATTTAATTTTTTACTTCAATGATCATACGACAAAAAATTTATTGTATTTTATAAAAATTTAAAAAAAAAAACATTTATTAGATTCTTCAGTAAATTCCCCAACAAAAAGATCGTTTAAATTGTTAATTAAAGAAGTGATTTAATTATTCCAATAAAATATTGTCTGGGGGCACGATTTTGTTTACCCTGTTTGAAGCTTAATATCTCCTGTTCCTTTTGTCGAAATTTTCTGAAATTTTACAAAGAAATTTGTATATTAGAGGTATTGATACTATTAAATTTTAGTGGTTAAAGGACGAGGGGGTGGGAAGATATATACAGGATCGTGTCTCTTATCTCGAGTGGGATTGGACTTAAGGAAGATTTTACTGGTTATTAGCATTTACAGTCTTTCTTTTTTTTTTTTTTATAAAATCGATTCTTACCTTTAGAATTAAGGTTTTTTTTGTCATTTTATAATAATTAATAATATAAAAAGTTTTTTAAATAAAACATCATAACAGATATTGCCATACGCAATTTTAAATGTTGTTGCCGGGAAAGTTAAGCAACTCGTTGCTGGAGTTTTAAAAAAACAAATTTCATGCTTAATTAAATAAAAAAACAGTTTGAAAATTAAATAAAGTTTTTATTAAATAGCGTATTTTATAAATTCCTATTAGTATCCTGATACATGTTATTAATCTTAGATATAATTTCGTACATTTAACACATCTTAGAAGTTTATCATACAAATCCTGTGTTAAAAAGTAGTATCGTTTATGTTTCTTTATGATTCTAAAGATTAACTTTAAAAAATATATCGAAACACTTTTAATAAACCTGTTACAGATTATAATTATTTATTATTAAATCTCTAACTAATTTAATTATGAAGAGTCTGGCAGTGTTTTTGATATTAAACAACAATTAGTTAACTTTTCTAAATAGAAAATTAAATAAATCAACATTTTAATTAAAAATATCTCGTTAAAAATCAATTTATTCGTAATTTGTAAAAGAGTAAAGTTAACGTTTGGAATATTTTAAATATTTTATTTTATTTTATCAAATTAAACCGTAAATATTAAATTTAAAATATCATATATTTATCTAAAAATTTTATATTTTATACGTTGAAAATTTCAATATTTATTTTGCTTTATTCTATTCCCTTGCTAAAAAAAAAACACCCTCGAAGGTTTGATGACTTAAACAATTTTTCTGTTTTAACAGGTAATTGTATTGGTTTGCATTGTACTAACGGTGTTTATCGTATGCTGGGCACCCTTTCAAATAACGCTTATTTATTCTGAATTCGGACATTCGAGCAGCGAATATGGAGAGGTAAGTATATTTATTCATAAAATAAATACTAAAATCATCCTTAGAGATTACTAAAGTAATTGTATAAACATTTTGTTTACATTTCTAATTTAAATTAATTGATAAATATAAATTTAAATCGACTTTCTATTAAACAAAAGTGAATAATTTATAGTGTGTTTACTAGAAAAGTCATTTAATATGAAGATAAAATGATTAATAACTTATATAAGAAACTATAATGATTAAGTTTATAAAATAAATTTTACTTTCTTTAATGTTTTTAATTATACCAGTCGACCCCCCCTATAACACTGTTGATTTTTCCGTTTTATATGAATCCCATGTTGTACGAGTCAATTAGATTTTACAAATACGCGTGCCGGGCTGTGAACGGCTCGTGTATTTGTAAAATCTAAGTGACTCGTACAACATGGAATTCATATAAAACGGAAAAATCAAAAGTGTTATAGTGGGGGTCGATTGTAATTTTATACTTTTTTTTTTTAAAAAAAACGTTCAATATATACGAAAAAGTTTACAAACAGGAAAAGAATAGAATTTATGTGACTACCATGTTTTATATAACTTCTGTTTTTACAAAAAAAATTCCTATAAAATATGTGCTATAAAATACAGGACACTTCAATCTATCGAAGAATACTTTATGTAGATAATTTATTGAAATATACAGCACATAAGATGTATAGATTTATTGCTTCAATAAATCTGTACATATTTTTTAAAAAATACATTTAATAAATATAAATTTATTGATGTTACAATTTACATTCACTTTTACAATTTATTTTTCGAACTATTTTCGATATAAGTACAAAATTCAAAAGCTCTTATCTCTTCAGCACTTTTATAAAAACGTTCAATCTAACAGTTTAATTAATGTGATTAATATTAGTTATTAAAAACGAACTTTAATTACTGGAATATATATTTTTTTTTTTCGAATCTACTTTAACTGTTATTATCTTCACTTTAAAAATGATTAAATTTGTAATTTGTTAGACCATAGATAAAATTCTACGAAGTTTATTTGAATAAATAAATTGTAAAAAGTTAAAAAAATATATATTTTTTCTAAAATGTACAATGTTAGAATGAATTTTTTTTCTATAAGAGCTTTAAAAAGATTATTACTTTTCGAATGATCAAGTTATTAAGGAGAAAGTTTCTCTTCTCATTCTATTCAAATGAAGTCATTGGATATAAAAAAGCAAAGTAAAAACACACGCAAATGTTATATGAAACTAACTACAAGAAATTTAACGAGTTACATTTTAATAAATTACAATAAAATTGCGAATAAAACATATCAAATATCAAATAACCAGAAATTGTCGCCTCGTTATCTTTGTCTTCTCTCATTATAAATTTGATTCCGTTAAAACTAAATTAGTATTATATTTATTTTTTTTCTTCCTTCTGTCCTTTAAATTTTTCTTTAAATAAATCGTTACAAAATTTAAAAGTTTTAAATAGAAATTATAGATTTTATGATTAAAGATTTCGACAAATAACTTTTATCATTNATTATTTTTTTTAAAATTTAACTAAAGCAAATATACATGTATATAGAATATTTCGGTTTTATTCTTGTATTTAATAAACAATAAAAGTTTAATGTTATGTGATTATATAGTAAAACAAACTACATTATTTACTAATTATTCTATAATTAACGATATAAAATAAAAATTAAAATCTTTAAATTTATCCTATTTCCAGAGGTAAATATTTGATTAAAACAACAATTCTTATGAATATTTAAAATTTAATAAGAAAATAAGAATAAATATTGCAATGAACTGGGATCAATGTTAGCCAATTTTATTTGTTTATTATAATTAATAATGTATAATAGAATAGTCTATATATTAATACACATTTTTCCCTTTCTTAAATCTCTTGATAGAAGTCTGTTATCAAACGAAACGAAATAAAATAAATTATAAATTAATTCTTTGAGTGTTAATTACAGTATTATATATTCGTTTAGTATAAATAAATACATAATAACGTACTAAATATTCAACATATTAGACGGCGAGAAATTAAAAAAAAAAACCTGAATTTTCCCCTGTATGTATGGATGTTTGTGTGGAGGACACGATTTTGTTCACCCACTTTAAAGCTTAACAACTCTTGTGTCTTTTGTCGAAAATTTCTGAAATTTTGCAGGGAAGTTTGTATATGAGGGACATTGAAGCTATTAAATTTTGATGGTTAAAGGTCGTGAATTGAAGAGATAAAGGGAGGTTAAGTTCTTATTGTTTAGGTAACGATCCGTAATCATTGAATTAATAATAATCAACTATAATCATTAACTCATTATTGTCTATCTACGAGGGTGGTTCAATTTCTCTCTATAATTTCAATAGAGGCGATAAAACTATGTGTGTTACATAGTTTCAATTAATGTTTCTTTCACTAGTCACTTCTCCTCTACATGATGACACATCTCTCTTTTTGGTTTGCTTGCTAGCCATGCTTGCCATGCTTGCTTGCCATAGTTTTGTGTGTCCCATTCTTTGCATTTGGTAACGATGTTCTTCACTACAGAATATAAATCTTTTAACTGATGTCGGAGCAACTGCATGATGAACTCGCTCACTTCGGAATTCTGGGAGAATCATCTGTCTCTCAAAGCTTCCTTGAAAGAATTAAACAGGTGATTAAAGCAAGCTGACAGATCCGGACAGTAGGCCGGATAATGTAGAATTTTTTAACTATATTGGTTGATCTGATCCCCTCCATCGTGCGGAGGACCGTGATCGACTCCATTATTTTAATTGAAAAAAATTAGACCTGTAAATTTCCATTGTCGTCCGTTTTTTGTCCGTCCGTCTGTCCGTCCGTCTGTCCGTCTGTCCTTTCGTTATCTTGAGAACATAGTTAGTTATATGACAGTTAAGATCAGATGTAAAAAGATTAGAGGTAAGAGTTCCCAATTTCCGATGCAAACCGAAATACAAGAATTTCCGATGCAAACCGAAAATCATGTTATTTAAATTCAAACTTTTCCCCTGAAAGGAGTTAAATAGATGATCGGCACGATTCTGTTGTTAAAGGAAAAGTATGATATACAGGGGCAAGCCACTACTAATTTGAGATGGAGAGCATGTATTTTAAATTAAATTAATTAAAAATACGATTAAAAATTGCAGCTCGGCATTTTGAGGATGTCACAATAAATAATTTCTCGTTTCAGTATTATATTTTTTAATTGTGATATTATTTTATACTAACAAAGAAGTTTTAATAAACATGTCAGTATCTGTAACATTAATGTAAGTTTTCATGGCTTTAATTAAAAAAGAAAAACATAATTTCATAACGATTATTACGATGTTTTTAAAAACAATACAGTTATAAAATATTGAAAGTTAATTGCAATATATTGAAATATGCCAACAATAAATCCACCAGCTAAAACACTATGAACAAGTACTTAATAAAATAAAATGGTTCTTCTTGCTGCCAAAGCAGCCTGCACCTAGCAAGACATGAATTCTTCGAGATTTTAGTAGGTGTCTAGTGAGAACTGAAATCATTATACCATCAGAAAGCTTTCAGTTCCTATAAATTGTAATTTACATCTTTTGTAATGAATCCATTTTTCTAACTCAAATCCAAGTATTCAATTGGATTTACGTCAAGGGATTTATGAATCGTGATTTGTCGGACGAGGCAACCTTCCATTCATTAACGATCTAATTTTAAGGATAACGTGCACGCTGCAAACATTGTCAGTGATGAACATTGTTAACAGAGGCCAAGACTAGGTCTGATGTCTATACACTTATTATTCGATGAACAGTGTGTTTTGAAAAACTCTAGCTACACCGACCTTTTTTATCTCTTTGATCAATGAAATGGCAAGCCACGAATCATTGGCAAGGCACATGTTTAGACTATCATCTTTTATGGACAATTCCTACCGATGAGCTACGCCGTTTCGGAAATGTGACTCCAAGGCGTCTAATTACCACAATTTGGTCTTTGCTGCTTTACCATTAGCATACGATAACTACTGATTGTGCAACCTTCTGTCAGCTGTTAAATGTTAATCTGATGACCTATACACGTGTCGCTGTGTGTCTATAGAGACGGTTCTTGCATTAACAAGATATGATTATAATGTTTTGACTGATCAATGTAGGTTATAAACGGACTGATTGATTTTGATAGGGTAAGGCAACACAATACAAGTGCGATCTGTCAAGAGAAAACTTTCTATGTAAAGCTGGTCTCTATTTACTGTTAGACACGTAAACAAAACCCAGAAAACTTCACTCTGCCACTGGTGGACAGATCTTGAACGATTATTTCCTATTCCCTTAGTTTATTGATTCACTTTTAATATTTCTAGCTGCAAATACGACCTTGAACGCTTTTATTAATTTAAAAGTTAGACGAGCTTCAGTTCTATTTTAATCAAATAAATAAACGTAAAATTTTCCTTCTACGCCAAGAAACATTTAAGAATTGCCAGAAAGCCATTTGCTTCCATATTTAGAAGGTAATGTATTTGAAAGATTCCCAAAATATTTTCATACGTTTATTTATTATTTTTAATTAAAATCAAAATTATTTACAACGAAATAATTCCAGTTCGGTAGGCCTATCTAACTTCCTCAATAACATCTCTAGATTTGGCAATAAACTGTAAGAGGCATTCGATAAGCAGGATCGTCATTCATTTATATGAGTTTTCCCTTTCTTTTGTCTGTAGTAGGAAAAGCAAGTACTAATGAAAAAACATTGGACTACAATCTATTGTCTTTTATTAGTACTTATCCATTACACAAATACTAAGAAAATGTTATTGATCAATTCCTTAACTCATTTCCAGAAAGTCTTAATTATTTATTATAAATGAATACAAAAATAAATTTAATATAACTTCATTTTATAGTTTGATATTATTTTAGTTGTGTTATGTATAAAATTAAACTTCAAATTGTTGTGACCAAAAGAAAACCCTCAAATTGTTGTGACCAAAAGAAAACCCTCAAATTGTTGTGACCAAAAGAAAACCTTCAAAATTTCTGTTTGAATTGAATTATATTTAAATCAATTCATAAAAGAGAATTCAAACTGAAAATTGATCAAGTCATATATATTATTTGGATGATGATACGTAATTTAATCAATTTTTAAAATAGAAGTTGTTAATAAAGGTTTCATCTTCTTTGATCATTCAACAATTAAATGATTTTATCTTCTTCTTCTCCTACTTCTAAGATCATTCCACCTCTTCCCAGTTTCTTCCCACGCTTCTTTATTTTTGTTTATAATTTGAGCATTACTTTTAACAGGAATCGTAAGTAATTTGCATATATAAAATCCAGATGGTTGTTCAAAGAGAATCCTTCATTCCTTCACGTAAAAAAACATTTAACTGAAACACTTTAGAAGAATAATATGCCGGATAATCAATCAGGAAAACAAAGATTTATTCGAACTAAAATTACTAATGTTATAAACACTCTACTTATTCTAAAATATGTAATAAATTATATCATAAATATAAGCGTAACATTCGCTAATATGTACATTTATACAACCTTTCTGATAAGTGTACATTATTTACTAGGAATAACTTGTTCAAGAGTATAATAAGTACTTCTGAGAATGTATAATATTCTTGTAACCATCATTCCCAGTAAAGAAAACTGATGTAATCTAAATTGTTTTAGAAAAAAAATAATGTGTTTTATAATTAGTTAAAATAATTATTTTATTCCCAGATGACGTTAAGTAATTTAAAAACAGTTATAACTTTTTTAAAGTTTAAAAGAAGAAAAAAAAATTATCAGAAATAACATAGAAAATGACTAATAAAGTTAATCTCTTCCTCTTGCTTTATATTAAGTTTCCTTTTTTATTTTGATTTATTTGGAGTGGGTTTAAATAATATTTTAATCATTATTCAATATATCAACCGCCAGATATGATAAAGAAAACGAAATTAAATAAGGAAAAAAGGTATTTAAATTTTTACACAAAATTTTAAAACGTTTCTAATAAAATGAATTCCTTTTCTACATTAAAAATTATTAATTTAAAGTATATTTAATAAGGATAATTTAATACTTTTTATATTAATTCGAACATTCAAAAAAACTCCAATAATTTATTAATGAATCTAGCAGAAAAACTTCTCAAACTAAATAAGAATAAATGAGAATTGGCGATAAAATTTAGAAAAAACAAAAGTAATTGTATTTAAAGTTCACGTATAATAAAAGATAATTAATTCAAATAAAAGAAAAATGAATGATACAATATGAAAGAAAAAAAAACTATAATTATTAATTTAGTGATCCAAATTAATATTAACTTATTATCAGTATTATTCATTTATCCAAAAGGAATTTAATTTTTTACTTCAATGATCATACGACAAAAAATTTATTGTATTTTATAAAAATTTAAAAAAAAAAACATTTATTAGATTCTTCAGTAAATTCCCCAACAAAAAGATCGTTTAAATTGTTAATTAAAGAAGTGATTTAATTATTCCAATAAAATATTGTCTGGGGGCACGATTTTGTTTACCCTGTTTGAAGCTTAATATCTCCTGTTCCTTTTGTCGAAATTTTCTGAAATTTTACAAAGAAATTTGTATATTAGAGGTATTGATACTATTAAATTTTAGTGGTTAAAGGACGAGGGGGTGGGAAGATATATACAGGATCGTGTCTCTTATCTCGAGTGGGATTGGACTTAAGGAAGATTTTACTGGTTATTAGCATTTACAGTCTTTCTTTTTTTTTTTTTTATAAAATCGATTCTTACCTTTAGAATTAAGGTTTTTTTTGTCATTTTATAATAATTAATAATATAAAAAGTTTTTTAAATAAAACATCATAACAGATATTGCCATACGCAATTTTAAATGTTGTTGCCGGGAAAGTTAAGCAACTCGTTGCTGGAGTTTTAAAAAAACAAATTTCATGCTTAATTAAATAAAAAAACAGTTTGAAAATTAAATAAAGTTTTTATTAAATAGCGTATTTTATAAATTCCTATTAGTATCCTGATACATGTTATTAATCTTAGATATAATTTCGTACATTTAACACATCTTAGAAGTTTATCATACAAATCCTGTGTTAAAAAGTAGTATCGTTTATGTTTCTTTATGATTCTAAAGATTAACTTTAAAAAATATATCGAAACACTTTTAATAAACCTGTTACAGATTATAATTATTTATTATTAAATCTCTAACTAATTTAATTATGAAGAGTCTGGCAGTGTTTTTGATATTAAACAACAATTAGTTAACTTTTCTAAATAGAAAATTAAATAAATCAACATTTTAATTAAAAATATCTCGTTAAAAATCAATTTATTCGTAATTTGTAAAAGAGTAAAGTTAACGTTTGGAATATTTTAAATATTTTATTTTATTTTATCAAATTAAACCGTAAATATTAAATTTAAAATATCATATATTTATCTAAAAATTTTATATTTTATACGTTGAAAATTTCAATATTTATTTTGCTTTATTCTATTCCCTTGCTAAAAAAAACACCCTCGAAGGTTTGATGACTTAAACAATTTTTCTGTTTTAACAGGTAATTGTATTGGTTTGCATTGTACTAACGGTGTTTATCGTATGCTGGGCACCCTTTCAAATAACGCTTATTTATTCTGAATTCGGACATTCGAGCAGCGAATATGGAGAGGTAAGTATATTTATTCATAAAATAAATACTAAAATCATCCTTAGAGATTACTAAAGTAATTGTATAAACATTTTGTTTACATTTCTAATTTAAATTAATTGATAAATATAAATTTAAATCGACTTTCTATTAAACAAAAGTGAATAATTTATAGTGTGTTTACTAGAAAAGTCATTTAATATGAAGATAAAATGATTAATAACTTATATAAGAAACTATAATGATTAAGTTTATAAAATAAATTTTACTTTCTTTAATGTTTTTAATTATACCAGTCGACCCCCCCTATAACACTGTTGATTTTTCCGTTTTATATGAATCCCATGTTGTACGAGTCAATTAGATTTTACAAATACGCGTGCCGGGCTGTGAACGGCTCGTGTATTTGTAAAATCTAAGTGACTCGTACAACATGGAATTCATATAAAACGGAAAAATCAAAAGTGTTATAGTGGGGGTCGATTGTAATTTTATACTTTTTTTTTTTAAAAAAAACGTTCAATATATACGAAAAAGTTTACAAACAGGAAAAGAATAGAATTTATGTGACTACCATGTTTTATATAACTTCTGTTTTTACAAAAAAAATTCCTATAAAATATGTGCTATAAAATACAGGACACTTCAATCTATCGAAGAATACTTTATGTAGATAATTTATTGAAATATACAGCACATAAGATGTATAGATTTATTGCTTCAATAAATCTGTACATATTTTTTAAAAAATACATTTAATAAATATAAATTTATTGATGTTACAATTTACATTCACTTTTACAATTTATTTTTCGAACTATTTTCGATATAAGTACAAAATTCAAAAGCTCTTATCTCTTCAGCACTTTTATAAAAACGTTCAATCTAACAGTTTAATTAATGTGATTAATATTAGTTATTAAAAACGAACTTTAATTACTGGAATATATATTTTTTTTTTTCGAATCTACTTTAACTGTTATTATCTTCACTTTAAAAATGATTAAATTTGTAATTTGTTAGACCATAGATAAAATTCTACGAAGTTTATTTGAATAAATAAATTGTAAAAAGTTAAAAATATATATATTTTTTCTAAAATGTACAATGTTAGAATGAATTTTTTTTCTATAACAGCTTTAAAAAGATTATTACTTTTCGAATGATCAAGTTATTAAGGAGAAAGTTTCTCTTCTCATTCTATTCAAATGAAGTCATTGGATATAAAAAAGCAAAGTAAAAACACACGCAAATGTTATATGAAACTAACTACAAGAAATTTAACGAGTTACATTTTAATAAATTACAATAAAATTGCGAATAAAACATATCAAATATCAAATAACCAGAAATTGTCGCCTCGTTATCTTTGTCTTCTCTCATTATAAATTTGATTCCGTTAAAACTAAATTAGTATTATATTTATTTTTTTTCTTCCTTCTGTCCTTTAAATTTTTCTTTAAATAAATCGTTACAAAATTTAAAAGTTTTAAATAGAAATTATAGATTTTATGATTAAAGATTTCGACAAATAACTTTTATCATTGAATTAATTACGTAAATATTTGCAATGTACACTTATCTTTTAATGGTAAATACTAATACAGTTTTAATAAAAGGAAATTTAATATAACTTAATTATTTAAGTTTAAAATAACTGAGAGAGCGCCTAAAGAGAATTATTCTATTTATCTAAAACCGGAAATAGTTATCGAATTTTTAGAAAATTAACAAAGTTGTGTGTTAGTTAATACTCTAGTAATTTTATTAAACAATAATTTATTCATTAAATTGAAAAATACTGAATAAAGGTGCACTAAATTACACCCAACTCATTAAGTGTGTTTAAAATTAAAGAAAAGAAACTTCTGTGATATTTCGTCACCGTAGTTACACAAACATTTCGTATAAAATTGATAAAAGAATGTCAATTATATTAGCGAAAGAAGAATTTGTTACGGAAAATTAATTAAATAAAGGTTTAAGGATTATTTAAATAATACCCTATATAATTTACATTATAATTTGTTAATATAATGTTNGATTTAAAATAATATTATAATAATAATTTATAAAATAAAAATATTCATGGATAATTATAAATTTTTATTCGTCCTTTTAATCTACATAAACGAATATTACATAAATAAATGTATCAGTTATATATTACAATTAGATGGAGTTTAAAGTTTATTTATTTATTTACTTGTGTTGGCCCTCAATACTATAATACTGGGCATAAGCGACCTTGAAAGTAATTTTAAAGATTCTTTATGCGCTAATATATCTTCAATACTTTTGAAATGAAAAGGATGCAAGGGACTTCACCACATCCGAATATATAGAAGTGAAGTATATATATATATAATGGACTGTCGACAGAGTCGTTAGCTTTCTATGCCCCAGAAGAAATTTAATACTTTAATGTATATTTAGTTGGATTTCCCTTACACAATTAACTATTACCGTCAAAATTTTTCTAGTTCGAAGTATAAACAGGGGTAGATTAATAATTTAAAAAATACAATATTAAGAAGTATTGAATACAAAGTTTCTAATTAGAGGCTATATTATTATAGAATTTAAATATGCATATTTATAACACTGAAGGATTTTTGTTCTTGATATTGTATTTTAAGCTCATATACAATCAAATACACTTTCAAAGCATATTTATTTATTTTATTATTTATCTTAGACTAATACAAGAATATAATGCCCTTTCACACTACCTTACTAGTAAATTACTACTAAATTACTACTAAATTACTACTGTCTACCTCTCAAGAAGAGTAGAACACACGATACTCTGAGCGGTTAAATGATACAAGTGGATTGATATGAGATAGATAGCAGATACTGCATACATAACATAGATTAAGTATTGAATAACAATAACTTTTCTTTTCTGAAAGATATCTTTAATAAAAGATTTAAAAAACAAGCTGAGAATATGACTGACCTGAGAATCTACTAAATTTGGCAGGGCACAAAACCATAAAAAGAATAAAAAATGAAAGTAATTATAGTTATCATTTTTTCTTTCGGGTATCCAGGACAGTCGTATATTAAATAATGTATATTTTCACTACAAAATGTACATTTGCAAATTGCTGTATTTGAGACTCCGGGTAGCTATTGAAATTGCTGTATACGTGAGTATCGGTGTTATTGCAAAACTTCGATTATTATATGATGTGATGTAGCGTTCTGAATACAAGAATATAATGCCCTTTCACACTACCTTGTGACCTCTCCCACAGTTCCAATCCTGAAAGATTTGTTTCTGAATTTACAGTACACTTTTAAGGCATGTTTGGAGTAAGGCAAGTCTTTTTATTGTAGTTGGTGTTTATTGCTGTAGCTTCGATCAGCTAATTTATTACCTAAGTTTCCAGTATGTCTTGTAACATAGTAAATCTTAACGGAGACATCAATGATATCAAGCAATTAAGTACTGAATGTACTTAATTTTTGTGTATTTCGTGCATCTGTCCTGAAGCTTTGTCAAGACTTGCTTGGAGTCTGAATATACTTCTACCGAGGAATTCTTTTTTGAAGCTTCGCTACCCAAATAATTGCCTCATAAAGTGAATCCAATTTAGTCTGAAAAATAGAAGTGTATGTATGACTGTGTTTCAGTTGTATAGTGTGGAATGAAATTGAATTACCAAGAGTAAAATACAAGGACTTGAGCCTTTAGAATTACCCTTTTCTGAATCATATGTGAAAAGAGAAAGGCTACCCAAACCACTTAGAGATGGGGCTGAGCAATTGTGAAGACCCGTCTTTTCGAAATTTAATTTTCCTCTAATTGTATAATCTTTTCTTGAGTAGTTTCGTATTATTTCAATATTCGCATTTTGTGTATGTTTTGAATTAATAAATATTTAGAGATTCATCAGTTTCTCTGTTTATTTGCTTAGTCTCTGTTTTCTAATTTAAAGAAAGTAAAGTAATTACAATTTCTTCTGGTATTGATTGGAGTCGTCGAATAAATAAATAATTAACGCAGTTTTTTCTTTAATAAACACATCTGTATTACTATAATATTCTGGCCTTCTTCTTACACAAAGACAAATCATTTTTATTTTTTATTTATTGTTATTTTATAGATCAAATTGTTGTTCTTGTTCTCTTTATTGCGGTATTTTATGTCTCTTGTATAAAATTTAACAAAAGATATAAAATTATAACGAGCAAAAATTATTAGGACATCATCACAATGCCGGACAGCAATTTACAATTATATTTTTAATATAACATATATGCTTTCGATCTCAAGTTAATAGTGTCTTGCCCCTGTACATCATACTTTTCCTGTTAACAACGAAGCCATGCCGTAAAAAAGTAAATTAACTATAAATAGACAATAAAAACTCGAAATTCATTTTGTGACCAAATGTATGACACTTTTCTGAAAGAAAAGTTTTGATTAATGGACATTCATAAGTCTTTTTTTGAAGATATAAAATAGTTCCAGAATTGCATCTCTTTGAACATATATGTATTGTAAATTTATAACATTGAACATACAAGAATTCCAGTATTGTAAATCCTATACCAATTGATAACTGAAGATTAACATTAAACTCTGCATTTACACTGGTTTTACAGAATAAAAAGAATGAAAAAATTAATATATTTAGATATTTTGATAAGAATAACTTACACAAAATGACGAAGAAAACACAGAACATAAAATAATCAATGATTATCACCGTGTTAATAAATTTTTACCCATATAAATAGAGTAAAAGTTTTTACTTACATCAAAAAATTACTTAAATAAACGACTTTCATCGCTGGATATTTTCCATTTAAATATCTGTTGCGAGCTTGCGAGACCTATAGGAAAAGAAGATTGGGATCCCTGTACGTAATTTTACGTCATAAGCTAATAACGTTTAATTGTAACTATAGAATAATTTACAAATTTTGATACACAGTTGCAATGGTAGTCAGTTTTTAGTTAAAAACTTTTATAATTACATATGCGATAGTCACCAGTGGCCTACTGAAAAAAACTACTGAACACTGGTAATTACTTAGTTGCTGGTTCGTGCCTCATCAACGGGCTGGTCACGTGAAGATTTCCTAATTTTCTTTACGTGTGTAACACCTAAATAGGGCCCAGTTTTCTCCTGAAAGCTGAAAGTCTTCCTGAAAACTGTGGAAACTGCTGTGTAAAAATACTCTGTAATATTATAAAACTTGCATTTACGAGTTTATTACAACTTATTAGTTACTACAATTAGTAGATTCTGAAAATTATTAGTAGTAGACTTCCAAAAATAAATAATAAAAAGCAAATATTTTAAAGAGCTTCATGTAATGGTCTCTCACAGTACTTTAAGACAACCACAAATTGTGAGGTTATCCACTCCAATGAGTTGACTGCTAATTGGAGTGTCCTCGTGTGATTACAGGAGGAACTGGAAGTTGAAAACAAATTAAAATAACGCTATATTTTTGGTATAGTTCGAAAATATACTCTTAACATTTTGAAAAAAAAATAAACCGACTTATTGATGTATGTAGAAAGATAATAATTCTTCGTCCTACACTGAAACCACGAGTACATTTCAATTCCTATAGATCTCGCAAAACTTTCAAGTACTTCGTTATTTATTATTTATTTTCATAACAATCCGAGAGAGTACTTTAAAAAACATTTCATATATAGAATTAATCCGAACTTATAATCATCGAAGGAACGGTCAGTGTAGGGAACCGGAGTTCCAAGTTCCGTACAATACGGAAATTTACACGTATATAAAACCATTCTGTCTAATTTTATTTAACTTTTGTAAGAAATAAATTGACTTTATTTTCGATTTTGTAATTTTCACGAATTGATTTTAGATTAATAACAATCGATACTAGTTTATTTACTCCTTCAATTCCTCGAAAAATGGGACATTTCAATTATGATAGACCTATGAAGAATGCAAACTAATCATACAAAAATGTAAAAAATATATATACTAAATAAGTTGAAAATTAATTATAATTAAGAAACCTTACGTATTTTAACAAATCTTGTATTGTTAATTATATTGTTTTGTTTAAAATAATAAATAAATAAATAATTTTGAGTTACTTTCGTATATCAAATTGAGAAATTCCAAATCTCTTAAAACCTCTAAAATCTAAAAATTAAAAAGAAGACGATATTTTCTATGTTTTATATTTACGTCCATGTAATTTTAGAAATTATTTTTAACTGGTGATATGTAACAATTAATAAAGTTTTGCATTGTTAAATACCAATTTAATTAATGCGCATAATTAATACTGAATTAATTAGCTAAATAACAATACATTAATTTAATTATGTGATTAAACGTATTCACTAATAAGTACAGTTTCATGACAATTAAAGAGGATTATCATAATAAAAGCTTAAATACATAAGTTTTAGCAAGATTTAAAATCATTAAATCAGAAAACCGTAAAATTTAATGTTTAATTAATATTCTGTCCATTAAATTTTGCGCTTTAAAGACTTTCTACGTGAGTTTGTTAATAAAAATAAATTTGTTTTTCTTCGAAAATATTCTTTTGTTCGTACAGGGATCGAAAATGCTATAAAATGACAATCTTTTGTATTATACAGTAATTTATAGTCGAAGTGGGATTCTCTTGGGACTTTTTACAGCCGTCACTCTATAGAAAGAAAGCAATGATCATGAATATCGCAGGTTCAAGATTGTTTTCTTGTTACAAATCAATACAATCCATCATTTGTAGCAAATGCAATCTTCTATTGACCAAATTCACGTTGGAAATAATAGATAGTAGAACTGTAGATTTTATAAAGAAATGATACTTTCCTATCTTTTATACAATTTATTTTTTTACGATACCAACTTAGGATTTCTTTTTGCGTGTCTATTCGTTATTTATAACATAATATATGATTTATTGTATCTAGAATTCCATTTACGGTTAACATAGAATGTGATTTTGATAGACTTTTTTCCCCTAATGAATCTGATATTTAGATACAAAACACTACTTTTATAATGGCAAAATACTTTGGTACTTTAATGGTAACTTTGCATATTGTTTGTCTTTAAATCTAGGAAATTTCTAGTTTTGAAAATATATTTTTCAACAGAAACATTATTTGTAACGACTTTTAAATATTTCTATACCACATATTACACCTTAAACTATAAAATTTAAAATAGTATATTCTTAATAAAGCCAATTCTATAATACAGATTATTATTAAATGCTGCATATTTGGAGATTGATTTTTATGTGTTTTACATTCTCTTTAGTTAATTCTGCATGTAACCGAAAGATAAAACTCAAAATAATATATATATATATATAACTGTTACGATTCTTTACTTTTTAATGACTTCTAAAACAATTTTAATAGTAATAATATTGAAAATTGATAGCTTATCATCAGTAATTTAATTCTTGTATTATAAGAAAAAAAATCATAAATGATTTTTCTTTATATCTATACCTTTTTATAGCATTAATATAAATAAATATTCTTTTTACAGCTTCCAGAATGGTTTAATAGTTTTTCATACTTCGCCTTTTATCTCGCTTATTCGAACAGTGTTCTCAATCCTATTATTTACGGAGGATTTAACAACAATTTTCGACAAGGGCTATGCGCAGTTTTACAATGTAAATGCCAGAGAGCAAATTTTAAAAGACCAAGTAAGTTATTTTGTATATATATATATATATATTCTCATATTTTCTTTTACCAGAAATCGATGTTTCAATTCTTTACAACGGTAATTCTTCAGTAGTTATATCTATTGGAAGTTTTACTACAGAATATAATGCTATTCTATTTTTTTTTTTATGTTTTACTATTATATACTTTTCAAACTTTATATATAGTCAAAAATCATTTAATTTCGTCTACTGTGATAAAGAAAATGTATTACATACCTTAAGGAAAAACTCTCCTTGATGGATGAATTTCTCTCTCTTTATTTAACTCTTTCTAACGTGTCCAATTGGCTATTTTTTAAAAAGGAAGAATTGAAAAATCCGAAATATATGACGTTTTATTTCCTTCGTACAGAGACGATGACGTTCCGTTATGAAAGACGGAAGAGAGAAACCTGATTGAAGAAATGTATTATAGATTTAACAAAAGAAATATGGTATTTTAAGAGGAATTTTACAATTAAAATAAAATATACTTAATGGATATATAAAAATAATTATTTACAGTTTACTGAAATAAAAAAAAAAACTATATTGTTTGTACTAAATCAAATTTGTTTTTTTTTTCCTCTTGAAATTCTATACGAATTGCAGAAAATTCCTAACTTCTATTTTGGCATCAGTTCTAATTTGCCATTTCATTACTTCTTCACCTTATAAATCACATAAGGAATATGAATAACTGGAAAGGAAAAAGAAAATGACTAACAAATGTGAAGGAAGAAGAAAATATATCTTGAACTTTTTAATTTAGTTCTTATTATTATTATTATAACTTGGTATGAATATGATAATGATTAGTAAACTTTCAGAATTTTGAAAAACTTTTTGACTAACTCGACTGAATTCTATAATGAACAATTGCACCGTATAAAACAAATAGCGTAAAAATCATTTAAATATTCTAACATTTCTTTTAGTAATCGATTCGAAATATACTCTGTTATCTAAATTATAATTTAAAAAAAAAAATACATCCTATTTTTCTTTTATAATATTAAAAATTCATTTATCTAAATCGTCAATGTTTAAAATTATAAAATAAATATCTGTCTATTAAATTGAGAGACTTTAACATTTAAGTTTAATTTTCATGTAAATAAATTATAAAATTTCAAGGGGAATTTTACCGAGAAGCGATTCTAATTAAGTTTACATTTAAAATTATAAATTGTTTTCCTAATTATTACATTAATGAGATCTTATTGATTAATTATGATTGCTCTTTGATGAATTCTTCAAGAACGTTGAGGTAGTGTTTGAAAGGAATTGTTAACAGATACGTTCGATTGTATAAATTTATATTTAAAAAATTCAATTGCTAATAATAATTTTTAGATGTTTTATATTTCTTTTAGTTAGTTCAAAGAAATCTTTGACAACAATAACAACAGCAATGTCTATGACTCATTCGAATGGACGACGTAAACTGTCGGGAAGAAAGAGTAAGGTTGAGATGAAATTTGTGAAAAAAGCCGACAACAATGAAGAAAACTGTACAAATAATTATCAGCAAACAAGTAACAGCAGTTACTACAGAAGAAATTAATTGAAATTTATTTTATTTTTATTATTTTATAGTTGTTGATATAGCATTATGTCGGTGCTGTATTGTAGTTTACAAATCCACAATAAATAAAATATGGGTTTAATATATTCATTTTATTGATTGAACTGCAGCAATTTTGTTAACAACTGATTTAAGCTTTTATAAAAAAAAAATCAATCTATTTATATGTAATTTCGGAATAAACAGGGTTTTATAAAGAGTACACTTATATATATACCGGTATTCCATGATTGCATTTTAAAAAATATTTAATATATTTTATGTATATCCATAAAATATCTGATATTTATATTATGTATATTTTTATTATTTATGTTTTTTAAACATTTTTTAAAATTGATTATCAACTGTTTTGTAAATACATTGAGTTTTCTTATAATTGCATTTATTATTTTTATAACTTAAATTATAAATCTTATGTTTATAAACTCGAATCGGCTTCATATACAAGGTGAATCTTTGGCTAATAATGTATATTGGAAAATATGTAGCTCCCAGCATAGAGATTGAAATGGCAGCCCAAATATATCTGCATTTATCCTTAAAGTTCTGTTTCAATTGAGAAATAAAGGCATAATACTTTTAAAATTCAACAGTAGTTAATGCGGATATTATATCTACCCTTAATTCAAATATATAATAAAAAAAAATGAGGATTTATATTTGAAAATATAAAATTGATGTTTGTTTCAACGCTAGTAACGTCAAATACGACGAAACAGTTCCATCTTAGAACATATTTTTCGTAAGATGTATATTTTTTCGGATATTTTGAGTGACAAATTAATATGAGACAACGTGTATATTTTCTATTTTATGTTACGGTTTGAAGTTATATCGATTTAAAAGTTAAATTTAAGCACTTTTCCGAAATTCGTACATAATTCAATTGCATATTATCAAAAAGTATAATGGCTATTTTAAATGAATAAACAGTAATATTAATAATTAAAGCTTGATGTATCAAAATCTTTAAAGAGCTAAAAATACAAAAATTCATTTAAACTCTCACATAAATTCAATTTTATATATTCCTTATCTCATGCCTTGAGGATTTTATTTTCTTTTAATTTTTTGATTCAATTTTAAACTTTTTTTTAAAAAATAAATCTATTGTGTATAATTAATAACACGACTTTTTTTTTAATCCTAAATGATATTTTAACTTTCAATTAATAATTTTGGAGAACATAATATAAATTCATCCTCCGCATCCTCTACATCCTCTGATTTAGTATTCTAATAAACATCTACCATGAGAGAATGTGAAAGAATAAATTATAAACATCTGTCATAACAATTCCTTGTTTGATAACGTAGTAATCTATGTATTTAAACGTTTACCTGATTCACATAACACATTTAATTATCTTTTAAGTAATTTAGAAACCTTCTCTTAAACATTACTCCTTCAAATAATTAAATTTACTGTCTTCATTTATGTAATCTTAGCATTACTGATATAACAATCATTTAAATAATTTTTAAAATTTCCTTATTTATTAATTAAAAAAAAGTAATTTTCATATGCTTAAATTGTTTTTAAACGTCATCAAGAAGCATAGTAATTAATCAATTATTATTATTATTATTATTATTACCACAATCAAAATTATCATTTTAAATTTCTTATAAATACATTTACCATGAATTACAGAGAGAAATAAATTTAATATGTAAATATATTTAGGCTTTATTTAAGTCTCTATGCCTGTGAATCATATGAATCACTTTTAAATATTTAATGTATTTTTTTCACCTCTCACTTATCTGAATGTAAAACATAAAGATTCACCTTGCATATTTATAACTCAAAATGTATATATTAATATAAAGAATATACACACATACAAAAAAAATATTAAATATATATTTTTGTGATGTCATTACGTATATATTAAATAATAATTATAACATTAAATACATATTGTTATCATGCTTAAAACTGTTATGCTTTTTTGTTGTAACTTAGTGTTTTTAATAATAAAAGTTTCATTGCATTTTAAATTTATATATTTAATTTTTATTTATAATTTATTTAACAATATATACATTAAAAGTTTTCTATTTTCTCCAGTTTTTTTTTTCTTTAACGAATAGCATTTTCTATGAATGCAACAATTGTTCAACTATCTTTTAATGAATGACATTGTCTTATATTTAGTTTTATGGATTCTCATCTAAAGTTTTGAAGGTAAAAAAAAGGGAGTTAAAATAATTTTTAACCTTTCTACCTTCATTTATTTTCCCTCTATACGTTCTGTAAGTAAATTACAGTGTTTACTGATTTATTAAGATGATGTATTCTTATAAGAGTAAGTAAATGCAATTTTTGTGTAGAAAATTTCATAATTTCATATTAAGCGAGAATATAATTATAATTTACATTTAACTCTAGTTAAAATAATTAAGAATTTATTACTTCCTTTATGAAAATGAAGCATCTGTTACAATTGTAAATTATAACAAAGCCATCGAAGTTGCTTGTTAATATCTGTCTATGGTTATTTTTATCCAATATTTACAAGTTTGAAAGTTTTATTTTCTCGTTAACAAGAATTTATAATAAATTACGTTTAAAAACAAAAAAAAAAGTTTAATTTTTAACGAAGTATTTATAATAAAAAATAATTTTTAAACCCATTATTTCTTCGTTAATCCCTGAAATTCTATATATGTAATGTTGTAACTTCATTAGTTTATAAGTTAATATCAAAATATGTTAAAAAGATCATTAAAAAAAACTTAGTTTTATTGACTTTTAGTTATTATTAATTTTAATTTATAAGCAGGTAAAATGTTTAGAATTTCATCTTAATGGAGAAAAACCATTGTCCTTTTGTTTGTATGATATACGTAAAACTTTAAAAAGAATTGTTTAATTATTTAATTACAGTAACTTTTAAATAATAAAATACTCCATTAATTACAAAGTTAACTTTCCATTAATATACATAATGCATCGAACTTTATTATCGACTATAATTTTATAAATTTATTATTTATAAATGTATTATCTTCCATGCGGAAATATCAGAATTCTCTTATGTTTTTCCTATAAAAATAAACGAATCTAATAATTTTGCAATAATAAATCAGGTATTAAAATAAATTATTTATATAAGAATTGTGTTTTTATATAAAGTTTAGTTACCCCCTTCCTCAAAATATTTATTTCTTCTTTGTTTTAATATTTAAAACGACTCTAGAAACTATAAAAGACCAGTTTAAAGCAGAAAGAAAATAAGAAAACTAATTAAAAAACAATTCCATTTGTTCATTCCATACAATCTTTGCGAAGTTTGATAATTAAAACAGATATTAAATATACTTATATATTCAATATTATATAATTTATGAATTTATTAACATTCTAGAGTAAATAGAATTGGAAAATTAAGTTAAAAGTTGTGTTAATTAATTCTTTTTTTAACGCAATCGGGACAAAACAAAGGATAGGATAAAAATAGATTTAGAGAAGTTATTGCTAAGTACTGTATTAATTAAATGCGCATCGTTAATCCGGAAAATCGGCGTTAACTCTTTTCTTTCTTCTTTATTTACATTCTGCAAGACAGATTTTATTTCGTTGTTACCACGAGTTGCAGCCATGTTTAAATAAGTCCTATGTAAACTAAACTTTAAAGAAAGTTTATAATATTATAGATCGATATTCTAGCATTTTATAAACAATTTCTAGTGAATTTATTTAAGACTTTTCTCATAGATAAAATTTAATTAATTAGAATAATTAATTAAATTTTAATAGATGAAATTTTTATATATAACAAGCTTATTATAATTGTCTAAGATATTAAAAACAATTAAAATAATTTTTATTACTAATTATTTATGTACATAACATAAACAGTATGTTGGAAAAAAATGTGGACCTATAAATTCCAGTTGTCATCCGTTCGTTTGTTTGTCTGTCTTTCCTTAATCTCGAGAATGAAGTTAGATAGATAAATGTCGAAAAATAATGTTGAAAGATTAGGGACAGGAGGCTCCTATTAACTATATATTAACTTCTGACGCAAATTGGATGTCAAGTGATTTCAATTCAAAAGTTTTTCCTTAAATGAAGTTACAAAGATGATTGGCATAACTGTTATTAGAAAAAGTATGATGTACAGTACAGTACATAGCCAAGCCTTTACTAATTTTAACTAGAAAGCATTCTGCCCAGCACTGTGACAATGTCACAATAAATTATTGCTCATTTTTCTTCTTCCTTAATTGTTTTCTACCTATGAGCACTAAGAATGACTCTTTACCATACTCAACGTGGATTCGGCCAATAAATGGGTGGTGATGAACGGGCCTTGGACACTGTGAAAATTTCTGGCCTGGATTCGATCTTGAACCCCTCTGCACAATATGCTAACGCCTTAATCGCTCGGGCCTTCGGTCGTCTTTAAAATTCAATCGATTGACATTAAAAAAAAAAATTATATAGTAAACTCGAGGAGAAAATGATATTTCAACCTATTAATTAATAATATATATAGGCCCTATATATAATTAATAGCCGATCAATAGGTTTCTGAATATCCATTTACCAAAATAAAACCATACATTTGTCAACACTTTAATTACATATTGTCAATTTTAAGTTTTTATATTTTCACTTACAAAAATAAAATTAAAACTGAAAGTATTAAACGTATACTCGTGTTACAGAATAACAACTTTTCAGAATATTTCATATATTTTTGTACTTTTGGACAACTACTATATATTTTAGTAAATATATATCCTTTGTATAATATATATATATATATATATATATATATTGGCATATATAAATCTTATTGGCACAGGAAATAAAAAAATAAAACATGGAAGATCGATATTTAACTTGTTAAAGTGATTAATCATATTAATTTAAAAATTAAAATTTTCATTTATTTTATTAATATTTTTTTTTGTAAGTATTGTTAAAATTTACGGACAATAACTATCGGAAATACGTCATTTAAATCTTGACCACGCTTTTTAATTTGACAATAAAGAAATTAATGAAGTCATTCCAACACTGTTGATATTTCCCAAGGGAAGAATGACAAATTTATGATGTACAAACTGAAGAAGTTTTAAAAAGTTCTCAATTTAACAAATAGCGAATATAAAAACTTTTAAATTTCATTATTATTTTTATTTTTTTAAATTAAATAATTTATTTTTGCCTCACTGCTTATTAAAAATATCAATTATTTATGTATTTTTTCGTAGATATAAACATAATATCCTTAAGTGATATTGAATCTGATATTGCTGATTATAAACTAATTGTTATTTGATTATTAACTATAATCTAAGGAAAAAGAAGAAATAAAATAAAACGAGTAATTATTTATTAATGGTATTAATGGAGAATGCAATTTTTAATCATATTTTTAATTTATTTAATTTAAAATATACGCTCTCCATCTCAAATTAGTAGTGGCTTTCCCCTGTAAATCATACTTTTCCTTTAACAATAATTATGCCAGTCATCTATTAACTGCTTTCAGGGGAAATTTTTGAATTGAAATAACATGAGACTTCTAAAAGTCCTTATTTACATTCTAGAGAAGATATCGAGCAATAAGTTTAATGATTATAAGAAATTCTACAGTGATTCAAGTCTCAAGAACAGACATGTGAAGGATGATGCATATGCAAACATAGCATCTGAGTGTAAACATGAGTTTAGCATAAATGAGAGGAATGTATTATGTTTCTATCAATTAAATGGCACTCGCATAAATCATAATTTGTGATTTATAAATGAATGCGTAATAAAATAAACTCTTCGCTAAGTATACAGACATTTATATAATCATTTAATGTTAAAAATATATAATTTACCAACCGAATTAAAATTTCAATTAAACTGCCAACATTAATATTTATTCTTAATTTGTTTAAATATATGTTAGTTATATTAGATTGAAGTTTTTAAAAATAAAAGATTTGTAAATATTGTATTACTTAATTATTTATAAATATAATAAATAAATTATTTTAAAATTTATTATTANTAGACCTATGAAGAATGCAAACTAATCATACAAAAATGTAAAAAATATATATACTAAATAAGTTGAAAATTAATTATAATTAAGAAACCTTACGTATTTTAACAAATCTTGTATTGTTAATTATATTGTTTTGTTTAAAATAATAAATAAATAAATAATTTTGAGTTACTTTCGTATATCAAATTGAGAAATTCCAAATCTCTTAAAACCTCTAAAATCTAAAAATTAAAAAGAAGACGATATTTTCTATGTTTTATATTTACGTCCATGTAATTTTAGAAATTATTTTTAACTGGTGATATGTAACAATTAATAAAGTTTTGCATTGTTAAATACCAATTTAATTAATGCGCATAATTAATACTGAATTAATTAGCTAAATAACAATACATTAATTTAATTATGTGATTAAACGTATTCACTAATAAGTACAGTTTCATGACAATTAAAGAAGATTATCATAATAAAAGCTTAAATACATAAGTTTCAGCAAGATTTAAAATCATTAAATCAGAAAACCGTAAAATTTAATGTTTAATTAATATTCTGTCCATTAAATTTTGCGCTTTAAAGACTTTCTACGTGAGTTTGTTAATAAAAATAAATTTGTTTTTCTTCGAAAATATTCTTTTGTTCGTACAGGGATCGAAAATGCTATAAAATGACAATCTTTTGTATTATACAGTAATTTATAGTCGAAGTGGGATTCTCTTGGGACTTTTTACAGCCGTCACTCTATAGAAAGAAAGCAATGATCATGAATATCGCAGGTTCAAGATTGTTTTCTTGTTACAAATCAATACAATCCATCATTTGTAGCAAATGCAATCTTCTATTGACCAAATTCACGTTGGAAATAATAGATAGTAGAACTGTAGATTTTATAAAGAAATGATACTTTCCTATCTTTTATACAATTTATTTTTTTACGATACCAACTTAGGATTTCTTTTTGCGTGTCTATTCGTTATTTATAACATAATATATGATTTATTGTATCTAGAATTCCATTTACGGTTAACATAGAATGTGATTTTGATAGACTTTTTTCCCCTAATGAATCTGATATTTAGATACAAAACACTACTTTTATAATGGCAAAATACTTTGGTACTTTAATGGTAACTTTGCATATTGTTTGTCTTTAAATCTAGGAAATTTCTAGTTTTGAAAATATATTTTTCAACAGAAACATTATTTGTAACGACTTTTAAATATTTCTATACCACATATTACACCTTAAACTATAAAATTTAAAATAGTATATTCTTAATAAAGCCAATTCTATAATACAGATTATTATTAAATGCTGCATATTTGGAGATTGATTTTTATGTGTTTTACATTCTCTTTAGTTAATTCTGCATGTAACCGAAAGATAAAACTCAAAATAATATATATATATATATAACTGTTACGATTCTTTACTTTTTAATGACTTCTAAAACAATTTTAATAGTAATAATATTGAAAATTGATAGCTTATCATCAGTAATTTAATTCTTGTATTATAAGAAAAAAAATCATAAATGATTTTTCTTTATATCTATACCTTTTTATAGCATTAATATAAATAAATATTCTTTTTACAGCTTCCAGAATGGTTTAATAGTTTTTCATACTTCGCCTTTTATCTCGCTTATTCGAACAGTGTTCTCAATCCTATTATTTACGGAGGATTTAACAACAATTTTCGACAAGGGCTATGCGCAGTTTTACAATGTAAATGCCAGAGAGCAAATTTTAAAAGACCAAGTAAGTTATTTTGTATATATATATATATATATTCTCATATTTTCTTTTACCAGAAATCGATGTTTCAATTCTTTACAACGGTAATTCTTCAGTAGTTATATCTATTGGAAGTTTTACTACAGAATATAATGCTATTCTATTTTTTTTTTTTATGTTTTACTATTATATACTTTTCAAACTTTATATATAGTCAAAAATCATTTAATTTCGTCTACTGTGATAAAGAAAATGTATTACATACCTTAAGGAAAAACTCTCCTTGATGGATGAATTTCTCTCTCTTTATTTAACTCTTTCTAACGTGTCCAATTGGCTATTTTTTAAAAAGGAAGAATTGAAAAATCCGAAATATATGACGTTTTATTTCCTTCGTACAGAGACGATGACGTTCCGTTATGAAAGACGGAAGAGAGAAACCTGATTGAAGAAATGTATTATAGATTTAACAAAAGAAATATGGTATTTTAAGAGGAATTTTACAATTAAAATAAAATATACTTAATGGATATATAAAAATAATTATTTACAGTTTACTGAAATAAAAAAAAAAAAACTATATTGTTTGTACTAAATCAAATTTGTTTTTTTTTTCCTCTTGAAATTCTATACGAATTGCAGAAAATTCCTAACTTCTATTTTGGCATCAGTTCTAATTTGCCATTTCATTACTTCTTCACCTTATAAATCACATAAGGAATATGAATAACTGGAAAGGAAAAAGAAAATGACTAACAAATGTGAAGGAAGAAGAAAATATATCTTGAACTTTTTAATTTAGTTCTTATTATTATTATTATAACTTGGTATGAATATGATAATGATTAGTAAACTTTCAGAATTTTGAAAAACTTTTTGACTAACTCGACTGAATTCTATAATGAACAATTGCACCGTATAAAACAAATAGCGTAAAAATCATTTAAATATTCTAACATTTCTTTTAGTAATCGATTCGAAATATACTCTGTTATCTAAATTATAATTTAAAAAAAAAAATACATCCTATTTTTCTTTTATAATATTAAAAATTCATTTATCTAAATCGTCAATGTTTAAAATTATAAAATAAATATCTGTCTATTAAATTGAGAGACTTTAACATTTAAGTTTAATTTTCATGTAAATAAATTATAAAATTTCAAGGGGAATTTTACCGAGAAGCGATTCTAATTAAGTTTACATTTAAAATTATAAATTGTTTTCCTAATTATTACATTAATGAGATCTTATTGATTAATTATGATTGCTCTTTGATGAATTCTTCAAGAACGTTGAGGTAGTGTTTGAAAGGAATTGTTAACAGATACGTTCGATTGTATAAATTTATATTTAAAAAATTCAATTGCTAATAATAATTTTTAGATGTTTTATATTTCTTTTAGTTAGTTCAAAGAAATCTTTGACAACAATAACAACAGCAATGTCTATGACTCATTCGAATGGACGACGTAAACTGTCGGGAAGAAAGAGTAAGGTTGAGATGAAATTTGTGAAAAAAGCCGACAACAATGAAGAAAACTGTACAAATAATTATCAGCAAACAAGTAACAGCAGTTACTACAGAAGAAATTAATTGAAATTTATTTTATTTTTATTATTTTATAGTCGTTGATATAGCATTATGTCGGTGCTGTATTGTAGTTTACAAATCCACAATAAATAAAATATGGGTTTAATATATTCATTTTATTGATTGAACTGCAGCAATTTTGTTAACAACTGATTTAAGCTTTTATAAAAAAAAAATCAATCTATTTATATGTAATTTCGGAATAAACAGGGTTTTATAAAGAGTACACTTATATATATACCGGTATTCCATGATTGCATTTTAAAAAATATTTAATATATTTTATGTATATCCATAAAATATCTGATATTTATATTATGTATATTTTTATTATTTATGTTTTTTAAACATTTTTTAAAATTGATTATCAACTGTTTTGTAAATACATTGAGTTTTCTTATAATTGCATTTATTATTTTTATAACTTAAATTATAAATCTTATGTTTATAAACTCGAATCGGCTTCATATACAAGGTGAATCTTTGGCTAATAATGTATATTGGAAAATATGTAGCTCCCAGCATAGAGATTGAAATGGCAGCCCAAATATATCTGCATTTATCCTTAAAGTTCTGTTTCAATTGAGAAATAAAGGCATAATACTTTTAAAATTCAACAGTAGTTAATGCGGATATTATATCTACCCTTAATTCAAATATATAATAAAAAAAAATGAGGATTTATATTTGAAAATATAAAATTGATGTTTGTTTCAACGCTAGTAACGTCAAATACGACGAAACAGTTCCATCTTAGAACATATTTTTCGTAAGATGTATATTTTTTCGGATATTTTGAGTGACAAATTAATATGAGACAACGTGTATATTTTCTATTTTATGTTACGGTTTGAAGTTATATCGATTTAAAAGTTAAATTTAAGCACTTTTCCGAAATTCGTACATAATTCAATTGCATATTATAAAAAAGTATAATGGCTATTTTAAATGAATAAACAGTAATATTAATAATTAAAGCTTGATGTATCAAAATCTTTAAAGAGCTAAAAATACAAAAATTCATTTAAACTCTCACATAAATTCAATTTTATATATTCCTTATCTCATGCCTTGAGGATTTTATTTTCTTTTAATTTTTTGATTCAATTTTAAACTTTTTTTTAAAAAATAAATCTATTGTGTATAATTAATAACACGACTTTTTTTTTAATCCTAAATGATATTTTAACTTTCAATTAATAATTTTGGAGAACATAATATAAATTCATCCTCCGCATCCTCTACATCCTCTGATTTAGTATTCTAATAAACATCTACCATGAGAGAATGTGAAAGAATAAATTATAAACATCTGTCATAACAATTCCTTGTTTGATAACGTAGTAATCTATGTATTTAAACGTTTACCTGATTCACATAACACATTTAATTATCTTTTAAGTAATTTAGAAACCTTCTCTTAAACATTACTCCTTCAAATAATTAAATTTACTGTCTTCATTTATGTAATCTTAGAATTACTGATATAACAATCATTTAAATAATTTTTAAAATTTCCTTATTTATTAATTAAAAAAAAGTAATTTTCATATGCTTAAATTGTTTTTAAACGTCATCAAGAAGCATAGTAATTAATCAATTATTATTATTATTATTATTATTACCACAATCAAAATTATCATTTTAAATTTCTTATAAATACATTTACCATGAATTACAGAGAGAAATAAATTTAATATGTAAATATATTTAGGCTTTATTTAAGTCTCTATGCCTGTGAATCATATGAATCACTTTTAAATATTTAATGTATTTTTTTCACCTCTCACTTATCTGAATGTAAAACATAAAGATTCACCTTGCATATTTATAACTCAAAATGTATATATTAATATAAAGAATATACACACATACAAAAAAAATATTAAATATATATTTTTGTGATGTCATTACGTATATATTAAATAATAATTATAACATTAAATACATATTGTTATCATGCTTAAAACTGTTATGCTTTTTTGTTGTAACTTAGTGTTTTTAATAATAAAAGTTTCATTGCATTTTAAATTTATATATTTAATTTTTATTTATAATTTATTTAACAATATATACATTAAAAGTTTTCTATTTTCTCCAGTTTTTTTTTTCTTTAACGAATAGCATTTTCTATGAATGCAACAATTGTTCAACTATCTTTTAATGAATGACATTGTCTTATATTTAGTTTTATGGATTCTCATCTAAAGTTTTGAAGGTAAAAAAAGGGAGTTAAAATAATTTTTAACCTTTCTATCTTCATTTATTTTCCCTCTATACGTTCTGTAAGTAAATTACAGTGTTTACTGATTTATTAAGATGATGTATTCTTATAAGAGTAAGTAAATGCAATTTTTGTGTAGAAAATTTCATAATTTCATATTAAGCGAGAATATAATTATAATTTACATTTAACTCTAGTTAAAATAATTAAGAATTTATTACTTCCTTTATGAAAATGAAGCATCTGTTACAATTGTAAATTATAACAAAGCCATCGAAGTTGCTTGTTAATATCTGTCTATGGTTATTTTTATCCAATATTTACAAGTTTGAAAGTTTTATTTTCTCGTTAACAAGAATTTATAATAAATTACGTTTAAAAACAAAAAAAAAAGTTTAATTTTTAACGAAGTATTTATAATAAAAAATAATTTTTAAACCCATTATTTCTTCGTTAATCCCTGAAATTCTATATATGTAATGTTGTAACTTCATTAATTTATAAGTTAATATCAAAATATGTTAAAAAGATCATTAAAAAAAACTTAGTTTTATTGACTTTTAGTTATTATTAATTTTAATTTATAAGCAGGTAAAATGTTTAGAATTTCATCTTAATGGAGAAAAACCATTGTCCTTTTGTTTGTATGATATACGTAAAACTTTAAAAAGAATTGTTTAATTATTTAATTACAGTAACTTTTAAATAATAAAATACTCCATTAATTACAAAGTTAACTTTCCATTAATATACATAATGCATCGAACTTTATTATCGACTATAATTTTATAAATTTATTATTTATAAATGTATTATCTTCCATGCGGAAATATCAGAATTCTCTTATGTTTTTCCTATAAAAATAAACGAATCTAATAATTTTGCAATAATAAATCAGGTATTAAAATAAATTATTTATATAAGAATTGTGTTTTTATATAAAGTTTAGTTACCCCCTTCCTCAAAATATTTATTTCTTCTTTGTTTTAATATTTAAAACGACTCTAGAAACTATAAAAGACCAGTTTAAAGCAGAAAGAAAATAAGAAAACTAATTAAAAAACAATTCCATTTGTTCATTCCATACAATCTTTGCGAAGTTTGATAATTAAAACAGATATTAAATATACTTATATATTCAATATTATATAATTTATGAATTTATTAACATTCTAGAGTAAATAGAATTGGAAAATTAAGTTAAAAGTTGTGTTAATTAATTCTTTTTTTAACGCAATCGGGACAAAACAAAGGATAGGATAAAAATAGATTTAGAGAAGTTATTGCTAAGTACTGTATTAATTAAATGCGCATCGTTAATCCGGAAAATCGGCGTTAACTCTTTTCTTTCTTCTTTATTTACATTCTGCAAGACAGATTTTATTTCGTTGTTACCACGAGTTGCAGCCATGTTTAAATAAGTCCTATGTAAACTAAACTTTAAAGAAAGTTTATAATATTATAGATCGATATTCTAGCATTTTATAAACAATTTCTAGTGAATTTATTTAAGACTTTTCTCATAGATAAAATTTAATTAATTAGAATAATTAATTAAATTTTAATAGATGAAATTTTTATATATAACAAGCTTATTATAATTGTCTAAGATATTAAAAACAATTAAAATAATTTTTATTACTAATTATTTATGTACATAACATAAACAGTATGTTGGAAAAAAATGTGGACCTATAAATTCCAGTTGTCATCCGTTCGTTTGTTTGTCTGTCTTTCCTTAATCTCGAGAATGAAGTTAGATAGATAAATGTCGAAAAATAATGTTGAAAGATTAGGGACAGGAGGCTCCTATTAACTATATATTAACTTCTGACGCAAATTGGATGTCAAGTGATTTCAATTCAAAAGTTTTTCCTTAAATGAAGTTACAAAGATGATTGGCATAACTGTTATTAGAAAAAGTATGATGTACAGTACAGTACATAGCCAAGCCTTTACTAATTTTAACTAGAAAGCATTCTGCCCAGCACTGTGACAATGTCACAATAAATTATTGCTCATTTTTCTTCTTCCTTAATTGTTTTCTACCTATGAGCACTAAGAATGACTCTTTACCATACTCAACGTGGATTCGGCCAATAAATGGGTGGTGATGAACGGGCCTTGGACACTGTGAAAATTTCTGGCCTGGATTCGATCTTGAACCCCTCTGCACAATATGCTAACGCCTTAATCGCTCGGGCCTTCGGTCGTCTTTAAAATTCAATCGATTGACATTAAAAAAAAAAATTATATAGTAAACTCGAGGAGAAAATGATATTTCAACCTATTAATTAATAATATATATAGGCCCTATATATAATTAATAGCCGATCAATAGGTTTCTGAATATCCATTTACCAAAATAAAACCATACATTTGTCAACACTTTAATTACATATTGTCAATTTTAAGTTTTTATATTTTCACTTACAAAAATAAAATTAAAACTGAAAGTATTAAACGTATACTCGTGTTACAGAATAACAACTTTTCAGAATATTTCATATATTTTTGTACTTTTGGACAACTACTATATATTTTAGTAAATATATATCCTTTGTATAATATATATATATATATATATATATATATTGGCATATATAAATCTTATTGGCACAGGAAATAAAAAAATAAAACATGGAAGATCGATATTTAACTTGTTAAAGTGATTAATCATATTAATTTAAAAATTAAAATTTTCATTTATTTTATTAATATTTTTTTTTGTAAGTATTGTTAAAATTTACGGACAATAACTATCGGAAATACGTCATTTAAATCTTGACCACGCTTTTTAATTTGACAATAAAGAAATTAATGAAGTCATTCCAACACTGTTGATATTTCCCAAGGGAAGAATGACAAATTTATGATGTACAAACTGAAGAAGTTTTAAAAAGTTCTCAATTTAACAAATAGCGAATATAAAAACTTTTAAATTTCATTATTATTTTTATTTTTTTAAATTAAATAATTTATTTTTGCCTCACTGCTTATTAAAAATATCAATTATTTATGTATTTTTTCGTAGATATAAACATAATATCCTTAAGTGATATTGAATCTGATATTGCTGATTATAAACTAATTGTTATTTGATTATTAACTATAATCTAAGGAAAAAGAAGAAATAAAATAAAACGAGTAATTATTTATTAATGGTATTAATGGAGAATGCAATTTTTAATCATATTTTTAATTTATTTAATTTAAAATATACGCTCTCCATCTCAAATTAGTAGTGGCTTTCCCCTGTAAATCATACTTTTCCTTTAACAATGGAATTATGCCAGTCATCTATTAACTGCTTTCAGGGGAAATTTTTGAATTGAAATAACATGAGACTTCTAAAAGTCCTTATTTACATTCTAGAGAAGATATCGAGCAATAAGTTTAATGATTATAAGAAATTCTACAGTGATTCAAGTCTCAAGAACAGACATGTGAAGGATGATGCATATGCAAACATAGCATCTGAGTGTAAACATGAGTTTAGCATAAATGAAAGGAATGTATGTTTCTATCAATTAAATGGCACTCGCATAAATCATAATTTGTGATTTATAAATGAATGCGTAATAAAATAAACTCTTCGCTAAGTATACAGACATTTATATAATCATTTAATGTTAAAAATATATAATTTACCAACCGAATTAAAATTTCAATTAAACTGCCAACGTTAATATTTATTCTTAATTTGTTTAAATATATGTTAGTTATATTAGATTGAAGTTTTTAAAAATAAAAGATTTGTAAATATTGTATTACTTAATTATTTATAAATATAATAAATAAATTATTTTAAAATTTATTATTATTGTAACCAATATATATATAGGCTTGCTATATTGACAGTATTTTGCATTCTCAGTATAATTTTGAGAAAATTATTTGAGTTTGATAAGAATAACCTTGATGTAATTAATGCTCGGTGTAACGTTTGTGTACATTAGATATTCAGAATTTATAATAAGGTTAGTTATATATCAGCAACATAAATGATCATTGCTATAACTTTCATTAGAACACAAACATAATTATTCAATTAAGACATGATTTGTAGTGTTATCTAAATACATATTTACTCTTTATTGCATACATACACCGTATGTTTGTGTATGTAATTATGCGTGTACTGTGCATACTTACTTACATAGATAAGGTACAAACATATAGTATACCCTATATGTTTGAAGAAATGTATTAATTGGGCTGCAATCTGAAAAAAATTGTACACATAAATTCCCACTTTCGTCCGTCCGTCCGTCCGTCTGTCCTTGCTTAGTTTCGAGAATGGAGTTAGATAAATGAAAATTTAAAGGATATTTGGAAATCGTACAGGTACCAATCAACTATATATGAACTTCTAGACATAAATGGGAAGTCACGTTATTTCATTTCGAAAATTTTTCCTGAAAGGAGCTAGATAGATAACCGATTGCTAATAAAATACAGAGGCAACACAGTACTAATTTGAGGTGGAGAGCATATATTTTAAATTAAAAATATGATTAAAAATTGCAGTTCGGTATTGTGACGATGTAACAATAAATAATTGCTGGTTACATTGTAAATTATTTTCAATACGTATAAGCACGAATTTTAATCATCTTAATCTATTTAATAAAATATCGATTATTTTTAATATTAAAACATAAAATTTATTATAAAATTGTTAAATATAATTGATAAGTCTCAATATTGGTAAAGAATATCCTAACATAAAGTAAAGAATAATAATAATCAATGCGATTAGTGATACACTTTCATTACAGTAATTCACTTTGACTCCTTCTTCAACATCTCTTTAAATTCATTGTCATTCACTTACATATATGTTCTGTAAAAATGAAATTTTTGTGCTTTATAGAATGTAATTTTTGCACCTGCAAACTATCAAAACTTCTGTCCTTATTCTCTTCGATATTTGTTGTTATTTACTTGGATATAAATATCTTACTGAGCAATACTGCATCATTATAATAATATAGAATAGTTTTTTTAAATAAATTTAAAATAGCGAATGTATATTTTAACGTCCGAAATGTATTAAATACAGATGAAATTTCTAAAAATTCATTGCAACGAAACTTTTTCTAAAAAAAAAATATTAAATCCCTTTCAAAATGAATTGCAACCTCGATAGATTTTTGTCATATACAATTTAGTCTAATGACAAGTACCATTTTTATAAACATAACATTCCCATTTTTCAAATTAATAGTAAGCTTCCATCTTTATGATTCATCCTGTATATATGTCGTATTACTATTTAGCACCCACTTATTCACTAGTGAAATTGGTACAAAATGAAAATGGCGCTAAACTGAAATGCCTCAAACAATAAGAATTGTATGAAGTAATGAGATATACGTATATACGTATGAGAAATGATGGTGTATCCTTGATACACCATCCAGGATTATGAGAACATCAAGGCAAAATTCAGGATGTACCAAAGACGTGTGTCTTCTGTCGTTTTTCAGAGAAATGCTAGTTAATTACATTAGAATTAGCTTAGTTATTTAACTATTTAAATCATTCTTTTTCATTCTTTTTTAAAATTGTTAAATGTAAGATGGAAAAACAATACAGTTAAACCTCGGGTTTTGATCTTAATTTGTTCCTGAAAGTTGTTCGAAAACCGATTTGTTCGAAAAGCGAAGCATTCGATTGACTGTATATGATATTTTTGAATTAATAGCTTGATTACAAATTATATAAATTACGGCACGATTTATATTCGTTATGATTCCAAAAAGAGGAATGAAAAAGATATAAAATCGTTATATTTCTTATTTTCAATAGAAATTACCGAAATTCTAGTTATTTAGAATTCATCTTTAGTCTGTACTCTACAATTTTCAACATTATTTCCGAGAAATAATTTAAGTTTTCCTGCTGTTTTTTCCTGTTAGTGTAAGATTACTTTCTTCGATTGAAGTCATGCGATGTCTGTTATTATAGTATATTCATTTTATTTTAAGTAATAAAATTGATAACTTTGGTAACACTGGATCGCTGCAGCAGAATACATACCCCCCTCTGGATAGGTCCTGAGATATACTCCTAACAACCCTCATTAAAGTAAAAGTATAAAAAACATTCGCCCTACGCGGACTTTGATGAAGCGGGACACAGAGGGCTCTCTTTGTCTTCCGTCGGTGTCTTTTGTTCAACCATAATTTTAAAAAAATCTCACACAATTTCACATTCTGTCGCGAGTTATTTCGTTTTGATTTCTTATAAATCAAATGTAATAATTTACTTACATTACTGAAGTTTACTTAATCACAATCCTCTCAAGAAATCTAAAAAAAGGAGGGAACAAATCGGATCTTTCGGAAATTTTCCGCTTGAAAATGTCGACCAACAATAGAAAAAGCAACAATATATTCTAACAATTCGTTACGTATTGTTAGAATATATTTCTAACAATACGTTACGAATTACGATTCCCAATAAATACGACACGCATTACGTAAAAACAATAACCGGTTTGAAACATTTCACTTAGAAAGTTAAAATAATCCTGTTTTTCTAATAAATAAAATTATAAAACGAAATTTACAAATGTCGAATACTTTCATATGTTCTAAAGTAGGGGTCCCCAAAGTGGTCGATATCGACCCCTTGGGGTCGATAAGAGTTCTCCAGGGGTCGATTAATACACGAGGGTCGAAAGGGGGTCGATTAATACCAAAGAGGATCAATTAAACAGTCTAGGAAAAAAATAGAATATTCCAATATAAATTCGAAATACGGATAAGATCAACAACATTACTGACTACCCTAGTTATAACTTGAGTTTTGCCTAAGCCTACGCCGCTGTAAGCATGTGTTACTCTATTTTCATGCATCTGGCAACTGTACTAGTGTTGCAAACATGTTATGAATAGTGATGTAACGAATATTCGGTTACTATTCGGTATTCGGCCTATTCGGCCTATTTTTCACTATTCGGCCGAATACCGAATATTTAATCACTATTCGGCCGAATACCGAATACCTAAAAACAGGAGTAAGAAATAACAAAAACACAGTAAATTAATCGTTTTGGTATTTAGATTTAATGTTATCGAGTTAGTGTTGTTTCTTTATATTTATTTATAACTTGTAACATGCACAAAAAGAAAATAATATTAGTCACATGTATTCAAAATTTATAATTACAAAGATCAGCACACGTACACGTCTATCGTTGGAGAATGCTCGCACATCTGAGGGTCTGACCCTGCCTATCCTTCTTTTTAAGCGCTCGTCTTTGCTTTTCCCTTTCTCTTACCTCTATCGCTCTAATCCATGTATGCCTGTGCATACATCATAATACGCGCTCACGATACTTTCGATTCGTCACTTNTGTATTTAATTTTTATTTATAATTTATTTAACAATATATACATTAAAAGTTTTCTATTTTCTCCAGTTTTTTTTTTCTTTAATGAATAGCATTTTCTATGAATGCAACAATTGTTCAACTATCTTTTAATGAATGACATTGTCTTATATTTAGTTTTATGGATTCTCATCTAAAGTTTTGAAGGTAAAAAAAAGGGAGTTAAAATAATTTTTAACCTTTCTACCTTCATTTATTTTCCCTCTATACGTTCTGTAAGTAAATTACAGTGTTTACTGATTTATTAAGATGATGTATTCTTATAAGAGTAAGTAAATGCAATTTTTGTGTAGAAAATTTCATAATTTCATATTAAGCGAGAATATAATTATAATTTACATTTAACTCTAGTTAAAATAATTAAGAATTTATTACTTCCTTTATGAAAATGAAGCATCTGTTACAATTGTAAATTATAACAAAGCCATCGAAGTTGCTTGTTAATATCTGTCTATGGTTATTTTTATCCAATATTTACAAGTTTGAAAGTTTTATTTTCTCGTTAACAAGAATTTATAATAAATTACGTTTAAAAACAAAAAAAAAAGTTTAATTTTTAACGAAGTATTTATAATAAAAAATAATTTTTAAACCCATTATTTCTTCGTTAATCCCTGAAATTCTATATATGTAATGTTGTAACTTCATTAGTTTATAAGTTAATATCAAAATATGTTAAAAAGATCATTAAAAAAAACTTAGTTTTATTGACTTTTAGTTATTATTAATTTTAATTTATAAGCAGGTAAAATGTTTAGAATTTCATCTTAATGGAGAAAAACCATTGTCCTTTTGTTTGTATGATATACGTAAAACTTTAAAAAGAATTGTTTAATTATTTAATTACAGTAACTTTTAAATAATAAAATACTCCATTAATTACAAAGTTAACTTTCCATTAATATACATAATGCATCGAACTTTATTATCGACTATAATTTTATAAATTTATTATTTATAAATGTATTATCTTCCATGCGGAAATATCAGAATTCTCTTATGTTTTTCCTATAAAAATAAACGAATCTAATAATTTTGCAATAATAAATCAGGTATTAAAATAAATTATTTATATAAGAATTGTGTTTTTATATAAAGTTTAGTTACCCCCTTCCTCAAAATATTTATTTCTTCTTTGTTTTAATATTTAAAACGACTCTAGAAACTATAAAAGACCAGTTTAAAGCAGAAAGAAAATAAGAAAACTAATTAAAAAACAATTCCATTTGTTCATTCCATACAATCTTTGCGAAGTTTGATAATTAAAACAGATATTAAATATACTTATATATTCAATATTATATAATTTATGAATTTATTAACATTCTAGAGTAAATAGAATTGGAAAATTAAGTTAAAAGTTGTGTTAATTAATTCTTTTTTTAACGCAATCGGGACAAAACAAAGGATAGGATAAAAATAGATTTAGAGAAGTTATTGCTAAGTACTGTATTAATTAAATGCGCATCGTTAATCCGGAAAATCGGCGTTAACTCTTTTCTTTCTTCTTTATTTACATTCTGCAAGACAGATTTTATTTCGTTGTTACCACGAGTTGCAGCCATGTTTAAATAAGTCCTATGTAAACTAAACTTTAAAGAAAGTTTATAATATTATAGATCGATATTCTAGCATTTTATAAACAATTTCTAGTGAATTTATTTAAGACTTTTCTCATAGATAAAATTTAATTAATTAGAATAATTAATTAAATTTTAATAGATGAAATTTTTATATATAACAAGCTTATTATAATTGTCTAAGATATTAAAAACAATTAAAATAATTTTTATTACTAATTATTTATGTACATAACATAAACAGTATGTTGGAAAAAAATGTGGACCTATAAATTCCAGTTGTCATCCGTTCGTTTGTTTGTCTGTCTTTCCTTAATCTCGAGAATGAAGTTAGATAGATAAATGTCGAAAAATAATGTTGAAAGATTAGGGACAGGAGGCTCCTATTAACTATATATTAACTTCTGACGCAAATTGGATGTCAAGTGATTTCAATTCAAAAGTTTTTCCTTAAATGAAGTTACAAAGATGATTGGCATAACTGTTATTAGAAAAAGTATGATGTACAGTACAGTACATAGCCAAGCCTTTACTAATTTTAACTAGAAAGCATTCTGCCCAGCACTGTGACAATGTCACAATAAATTATTGCTCATTTTTCTTCTTCCTTAATTGTTTTCTACCTATGAGCACTAAGAATGACTCTTTACCATACTCAACGTGGATTCGGCCAATAAATGGGTGGTGATGAACGGGCCTTGGACACTGTGAAAATTTCTGGCCTGGATTCGATCTTGAACCCCTCTGCACAATATGCTAACGCCTTAATCGCTCGGGCCTTCGGTCGTCTTTAAAATTCAATCGATTGACATTAAAAAAAAAAATTATATAGTAAACTCGAGGAGAAAATGATATTTCAACCTATTAATTAATAATATATATAGGCCCTATATATAATTAATAGCCGATCAATAGGTTTCTGAATATCCATTTACCAAAATAAAACCATACATTTGTCAACACTTTAATTACATATTGTCAATTTTAAGTTTTTATATTTTCACTTACAAAAATAAAATTAAAACTGAAAGTATTAAACGTATACTCGTGTTACAGAATAACAACTTTTCAGAATATTTCATATATTTTTGTACTTTTGGACAACTACTATATATTTTAGTAAATATATATCCTTTGTATAATATATATATATATATATATATATATATTGGCATATATAAATCTTATTGGCACAGGAAATAAAAAAATAAAACATGGAAGATCGATATTTAACTTGTTAAAGTGATTAATCATATTAATTTAAAAATTAAAATTTTCATTTATTTTATTAATATTTTTTTTTGTAAGTATTGTTAAAATTTACGGACAATAACTATCGGAAATACGTCATTTAAATCTTGACCACGCTTTTTAATTTGACAATAAAGAAATTAATGAAGTCATTCCAACACTGTTGATATTTCCCAAGGGAAGAATGACAAATTTATGATGTACAAACTGAAGAAGTTTTAAAAAGTTCTCAATTTAACAAATAGCGAATATAAAAACTTTTAAATTTCATTATTATTTTTATTTTTTTAAATTAAATAATTTATTTTTGCCTCACTGCTTATTAAAAATATCAATTATTTATGTATTTTTTCGTAGATATAAACATAATATCCTTAAGTGATATTGAATCTGATATTGCTGATTATAAACTAATTGTTATTTGATTATTAACTATAATCTAAGGAAAAAGAAGAAATAAAATAAAACGAGTAATTATTTATTAATGGTATTAATGGAGAATGCAATTTTTAATCATATTTTTAATTTATTTAATTTAAAATATACGCTCTCCATCTCAAATTAGTAGTGGCTTTCCCCTGTAAATCATACTTTTCCTTTAACAATGGAATTATGCCAGTCATCTATTAACTGCTTTCAGGGGAAATTTTTGAATTGAAATAACATGAGACTTCTAAAAGTCCTTATTTACATTCTAGAGAAGATATCGAGCAATAAGTTTAATGATTATAAGAAATTCTACAGTGATTCAAGTCTCAAGAACAGACATGTGAAGGATGATGCATATGCAAACATAGCATCTGAGTGTAAACATGAGTTTAGCATAAATGAGAGGAATGTATTATGTTTCTATCAATTAAATGGCACTCGCATAAATCATAATTTGTGATTTATAAATGAATGCGTAATAAAATAAACTCTTCGCTAAGTATACAGACATTTATATAATCATTTAATGTTAAAAATATATAATTTACCAACCGAATTAAAATTTCAATTAAACTGCCAACATTAATATTTATTCTTAATTTGTTTAAATATATGTTAGTTATATTAGATTGAAGTTTTTAAAAATAAAAGATTTGTAAATATTGTATTACTTAATTATTTATAAATATAATAAATAAATTATTTTAAAATTTATTATTA